TCTGCTAGTTGGGGTTTAGTCCAAATCTGCATCCTTTCCTTCAAGGCTCAGGGGTCCAAGATTATCTTCTGTGTCTGTGTTAATAGGTTTCCCTTTTCTTTGTTGAAGAGGGTCTGTGCAATCCTTCTGCCTAGTACGCCGTCTTGCCCCGCCTCCGACACCTTCAGTCTTATCTCTGTTTATCATGATGTTCTTTTTGGTTCAGTTATGAGGGCTTTTGTTTTATATTGAGATGTAAACCATACTGAAGACTGTAGTCTTTTATCTACATCAGGAAGTGCTTCAAGTTCTCTTCACTTTCAGCAAGCAAGGTTATATCATCTTCATATCACAGATTGTTAATATGTCTTCCTCCAATCATCATGTTGTGTTCTTTTTCTTATTGCCCAGCTCAGCCTACAGATTGAATAAGTATTGTGAAAGAATATAATACTGACTTACAATTTTCCTGATTTTAAACTGCCCATTATCCCATTGTTCTGTTTGAACAACTGCCTCTTGGTCTATGTACAGGTTTTGCATAGGCACAATTGGTGTTCTGAAATTTGCATTCTTCACATTATTATCCATAAATTGTTATGATCTCCACAGTCGAATGCCTTTTCATATTTAAAGAAACACAAATACAAGCAAATATCTTTCTAATATTCTCTGCTTTCATCAGTGATACATCTATATCATTGCTGATATCTCTCATTCCAGGTCCTCTTCTGAATCCAGTTTAAATTTTTGGCAGTTCCTTGCTGATGTGTTTCTGCAATGATTTTGAATTATCTTTAGCAAAATTTTACTTGTGTGTGATATCAGTGAAATTGTTCAATGATTTCTACATTCTGTTGGATCACCTTTCCTTGAAATGGACACAGATATGCATGTCTTCCAGGCAGTTGGACAGTCAGATTTCTTCTCACCAAGAAGTGAACCCTTCCAGCATTACATCCATTTGTTGAAGCATCTCAATTAGTATTCCTTCAGTTCTTGGATCATTGTTTTTTAACCAGTTCCTCTAGTACTGCTTGTGTTTCTTCCTTCAGTAGTATTAGTTTTTGATCATATGCCACCTCCTAAATTGGTTGACCTTTGACCATTTCTTTTAGGCACAGTTACTCTGCATTCCTTCCATCTTCTTTTGATGTTTCCTGTGTCTTTCAATACTTTGCAAATAGAATCCTTCAGTATTGCAACTCAGGGCTTATATTTGTTCATCAGTTTTTTCATATTGAGAAATGCTTAGTGTGTTATTGCCTTTTGGTTTTCTAGTTTCATGTCTCTGCACATTTCATTATAATATGTGCCTTTGTCTTCTTGAGCTGCTCTTTGAAATCTTCTGTTCAGCTCTTTTATCTTGTCATTTCTTCCATTTGTTTTAGCTACTCTTTGTTCAAGAGCAAGTTTCAGAGTCTCTACTGACATCCACATTGGTCTTTTCTTCCTTTTCTGTCTTTTAATGACCTTTTTCTTTCTTCATATATGATGTCCTCATCCCACAAATCCTCTTTTCATGAGTCATTAGAATTTGGTGCATCAAATCTGTTCAGATGGTTTTTAAACTCATATGGGATATATCAAGGTTCTACTCTGGCTCTCATGGAATAGTTTTAATTGTCCTCAGCTCCAATGCTGCAACCTGAACTTGCATATGAACAACTGATAATCTGCTCTGCAGGTGGCCCATGGTGTTGTTCTGGCTGATAATATTGAGCTTCTCTATTGTCTCTTTCCACAGATGTAGTCAATTTGATTTCCGTGTATTCCATCTGCTGGTTCATGTGTATAGTTGCCAATAATATTGTAAAAATTTATTTGCAAGGAGTAAGTCCCTGGTCTTGCAGAATTCTATCATGTGATCTCTTGTGGCATTTCTGTCCTAAGTCCAGATTTTCTAGCTTCTGATCCTTCTTCTTTGTTTCTGACTTTTACATTCCAATCATCAGTAAATATCAAAGCATCTTGATTGGATATTTGATCAATTTCAGACTGCAGATGTTTGTAAAAGTCTTCAATTTCTTCATCTTTGGCATCATAGACATTAATTGACCTTCCTTGTAGGAGTAGAGGAGCTCTGGTGGTATAGTGGTTAAAGCATTTGTCTGTTAACCAAAATGCCAGTGGCTCAAACTCACCAGCTGCTCTGCAGAAGAAAGACGAGGCAGTTTGCCGCCATAAAGATTTATAGCTATGAGTCAGAATCAACTCAATGGCTGTGAGTGGTTTTCATTTTTTTTTTTTACTTTAGTAGAAGGGTGGATATTATCCTATACCTGGTGGTGGTGTGCTTCAGGATAGATTCTGATATATTCTTTTCGACATTGAATGTAATGCTATTCCTCTTCAATTTGTCATTTCTGGCATAATAGATCATATGATGGTCTGATTCAGAATGACCAACACCCATCCTTTTCAGCTTACTAATGACTGGGATGGTGATCTTTATTCACACTGCTTCATTTTTGACAACTTTCAGTTTTCCTAGGTTAATACTTCATACATTCCACGTTCTAATTATCAATGATTGTTCGCAGCTGTTTCTTCTTATTTTGAATTGTGCCACATAGGCAAATGAAGCTTTACTCCATCCATGTCATTAAAGTCAACTCTACTTTGAGGAGACAGTTATTCCCTGGTCATATTTTGAATGCCTTCCAACCTGAGGAGCTCATCTTCCAGCACTGTATCAAACAGTGTTCTGCAACTATTCACAAGATCTTCACTGGCCACCTTTTTAAGAAGTAGATTGCCAGGGCCTCCTTCCTAGTCTCTCTTAGTTTGGAAGTTCCAGTGAAAGCTGTCCACCATTGGTGACCTTGGTGGTATTTGAAATGTTGTTGCCATTGCTTCCAGCATCACAGAAACATGAAAGCTACTACATACAGTACTGCAAACTGTCAGACAAGTGGTAGATGTATGCATGTGTGTGTGTATGCTTCATTGTTATATATATATTTTTCAATATCATATGTTCTTGTCTTTTTTTCCCTCATGCATAACTTGGTTCTTTGATTGAAATGAATCTTGGTTTTCAGTTTTCAATGCATATTTGTTCTATAGATTTTAGTCAAATCAGAATTTACTAATCTAAGTAGAATGTACAGATTCATCAAAGTTGTCTCCCAATCCTAATTCACTTTTGCATTTATTTTAGGAGAGATCAGGGTGGCCTTTGTCCTATATAACAACTTGGGTCCTTATTTGTCCACGGAGAATGCCAGTATGAAGTTGGGAACTGAGGCTATGTCCACAAATCATTCTGTTATTGTCAATTCCCCTGTTATTACAGCAGCAATAAACAAGGAGTTCAGTAATAAGGTTTATTTGGCAGATCCTGTTGTATTTACTGTGAAGCATATCAAGGTAAGCAATGGCATGTTGTTTAGTTAGTTGCATTATCTGTATTTGTTAGAATATGAAGGATACTAATTTCCTTTATATATTTTCTTCTATTAGTTGACATATAGCTAGTTATTCATTATCTATTAAAATGTTACTGATATTTATTTGTTTTTCTTCTCAGAAATGAGATATTTAGGGACCAGAATGTTTATGATAAATGTTCTTCATAATTGAAAAAAGCTAGCAAAATTTTAAATGGAGCTGAATATGGCTACTACATAAAGATGTTGCAAGTAATTATGTCTATGTCTGTATATCAAATATTAGAGTTGTAAATTCAACAAAGTTTTCTTAAGTTCATTTATTGGAAATGAACAAAGTATTTATTTACTTTGCTAGGGAATTTATTGTTGTGCTTCTGAGATATTAATACTAGTATTCCTTCAAAGTTATTAAAGAAACTCATTTCTAATCAGAGGGAGCCAACAGCAGAATATATTCAAATTTGTTTGGAATTGATGAGACCCACTTAATATAAAACATTGTTAGATACTTTAACAAAAATTGGAACAGAGTATGAAGCTGTATTAGTTGTAAAGAAAATACCTACCTAATTTCTGTGATCATAAAGTAATTATTGGTTTTATTGATTTCTTTCCTGTAGCAATCAGAGGAAAATTTCAACCCTAACTGTTCATTTTGGAGCTATTCCAAGCGTACAATGACAGGTTATTGGTCAACACAAGGCTGTCGACTTCTGACAACAAATAAGACACACACTACATGTTCTTGTAACCACCTAACAAATTTTGCTGTATTGATGGCACATGTGGAAGTTAAGGTAAGACATATACCATAAAATAAAAATACTTTTACCATATACTAGGGATGCTAAGTATAAATAGTGCTAATTATATAGGCTAGTCTCACTACTTTCTAATGAAAGAGATTCAGTGTTTTTGCATTTTCATAGTAATTCTATTCAGTATCTTTCTGATATTCAATCCATGTTCTCCTAGATGATTAAAGGAAATGGCTGTCCCTTTTCATATTATCAGTAAAACCAAACCCACACCCATTGAGTTGATTCTGACTCATAGTGACCCTGTAGGACAGAGTAAAACTGCCTCATAGAGTTTCCAAGGCTGTAAATTTGGACAGAAGCAGACTACTTCATCTTTATCCTAAGGAGCAGCTGGTGTGTTTTAACTGCTAACCTTTTGGTTAGCAGCCAAATGATTTTAACCACTGCAACACTAGAGCTCCTAAATTATCAGTATAGTTAATAAAAGTGAACCTTGACTATACAACTTCCTATAACTTCTACCACTTTTACTTCATGTGAGTGTGAGTCATACCAATTTGATTCTATGCTGTCGTATTTTGGCAGACTCATGAACAGGACATGATAGGATCCCAGTACCAAACAATGGTAGGTCTGGAATATGAAGCTGAGGTTGGTAGGTTGAAGACTAAGAATGGAGGCTAAGACTGGAGACTAAGAAACTATTCATGAAATTAAATACAGTCAAGCTAATTGAGTCACTATGGAAAGCTGCTGTTGAGTACCATAGATGAATCATGGTGATTCAAAGGGCATGGCAAACTCTAGCAGAATGTAGTAGATTCTGCCCATCTAGAAAGACCCTATTAAAAGGAGAAATCTAGGAGATAGGTAATTTCCAAAGTCAGAGACATGGTTCACTTTACTAAAGCACTCTCTTCTCAGCACAATTTTGGCTGTTATATGTGTAGAGGGTTGAGAGATGGAGGCTGTGGGTGAAAGAGAAGAGATGGCTGATAGGGTGTCAAGGTATCCTCCAAGCAGGAGAAGTGTTAAAGGCAGGAATACAGTACCATGAAGATCTAGGAATCCTAAGGCAGGAAACTCAGACCAAAACTCTCAGCCTGTCAGTACATCATCAATAATAGGTAAAATTAAAGCTGAGATACTCAGTTCATGAAAATATACTCAGTTGGAAACTTCTGGTTCTGTTCCAATTAAAGTACATCATGACCAAGAATGATGGAAGACTGTTAATATCCTACTTCCTTGTTACAATTAAGTCAGGAAATAGGGTCTAATTTCAATCTACACATTGGGTCAAACAAGCTATAGCATGAGAAAAGCTAGATTATGTAAATTATGTGACATAAATATGATTTATTTTCTAAACTTTGAAACAAAATGTCCAGTAAAAATAATACTTTAACATACATTCTCAAAGTCATGAGCTGCATAATAATTACATTTAAGATCTTAAAATGTAGCTTCATATAGTTCTTTGAAAAGTTTGTATGAGTTAAACACAATTTAATTTATATATTAAAGATTATTTTAAGATTTTTAATCTTATGTAATATAAACAAGATTATGTTTACATTATATAAGATTAAATACAGAAGAAATATCATTAATATTTAATTGTAGAACAAAGCACATATAGATTCAATACTTTCATGCAAAATTTATAACTTAATTTTCATTGCATTTTGCATTATAATAACTCATTATGATTTCTTGGTGTATATTGTATTGTGGAATAACTATGACTACTTGTTGCTGTTGTTATGTGCCCTCGCGGCAGACCTGACTCATAGCGACCTCTCCTTGGGTTTCCAAGGCAGTATCACTACGGAAGTAGATTGCTCCATTTTCCTTCCAAGGAGTGGCTGGTGGGTTTGAACCTCCAGCCTTCTGGCTAGCAGTCAAGTAAGTGCCTTAGGCACTACGCTGACTACTTAGAAACCTGGAATGACTTTGTAAAGGTAAACATTTCATACAATTAGTGACATTCTTATACTATGTAATTGTTATTTACATACTCAGCAGCCTGGGCAGCACAATGGTTAAAGTGCTGGGCTGCTAACCAAAAGGCTGGCAGTTAAGAACCACTCTGGTGGTTTCTCCTACTCTGTGGAAGAAAGATGTGATAGTCTGCTTCAGTTAAGATTACAGCCTTGGAAACCCCATGCAGCAGTTCTACTCTGTTCTATGGGGTTACTGTGTGTCAGAATTGACTTAAAGCAGTGCGTTTGATTTTGGTGTCTTTGTTATTTATGTATTCATACTTATTAATTGATATATGAAATTTTCAAGCATAATAAAGAGTAAGATATTAATGCTACCCTCAAGAGGTTTATAGTTTTTATATATGAGACAGAAAAAAACAGTACTGTAGGGGATGAATATATGAAGGTAAAAAGAAGATAATAGAGGAAATTATTTTCAAGATTATGTTAAGGGTTAAGGAATCCATCAGGCAAATTGTGAAGACCATTCCAGTCAGAGAAAACAGCTTGAGCAAAATCATGAAGATGCTTTGTATTGTGGTGTATCAAGGATGGTTATCAGCAGTTTAGGGTTACTGGCAAATGAGGCAACTAGTTAACAACTAGAGATGAGTTAAAGAATTTTATAGGGCCAAGGACCTAATGTAGAGATTTAGGCAGGCTTATTTCTAACAAAAATGAGCCCTGGTGACACAGTGGTTAAGTGCTGGCCTGCTAACTGAAAGGTCAGTTGTTCGAACCCACCAGCTGCTCCATGGGAGAAATATGTGGCAGTGTGCTTCTTTAAAGATTTATAGCCTTAGGAAACCCTATGGGGAACTGGGAGGACATTGCTACTCTGTCTTATGGGGTCACTAGGAGTAGAAATCAATTCAAAGGCAATGGGTTTGGGTTTGGTTTAGTCGTAATATCTATCAGCCCAGAGTAGGATTCCAGATGGAAGCCCACATATCACATATCCCATATGTCTAAATATGTATGAGTAATAAATAAAGCTAGCAAACTCTGACATACATCCTGTCCTCCTAATGAATTCACAGTTACAATGATCCAGGATACAGATTTGAATTTAGAATTCTTAGTCCCCCAGAGTTCTGTGCTTTAATATGGCAGTATAGGGAGGTCCTGCCCCTGGATCCCAGCTAGTGTTGTACCCCATCCCCCCTTGAAAAATATGAGGCCCAGGTGAGAGCCTTTTTTTCAAGATTTCAAAGTGTAACCAAGATACCAATCTTAGCTCTTATTCTATGGACAACAAAGTAATAAATGCTAGATATTTAAACAATGATGATGATGGCTTATTTTGCATTTTAGATAAAATACATCTAATACTATGTGGAGATGGATGTATAAGTTATTAGACTTTATGACATATGCTCTAGTAAGGGAAGTCTAGATTTAAAACATGTTTGTGGTAATAGAAATTGAAAGGATTTAGATTTCAGATATACCAAGGACTGAAAAATACAGAGTACTTACTAACTTGGTTATACAGATTGATAGATGGATTAGATATAAAACTAATATACTTATCACTTCCTTTCTTATTTCCCTGTGTCAATGAAAATAAACAAAGTATTAATATCAACCATATTAAAATGGAAACCCATGGCAAAGGTTTTGTCTAGTTGTTATCATCAGTAAAAATAATTTCATTCAAATTTGTCTTTAACTTTGTTGTATTTAGAGTAAGATGATAAAAGTATCCAAGAGAAAGACCAACTCTAAGCTCATTTAACACTTTAAAGAGTAGAATGACCTTAATTGTGTCAGTAGAGTTCAGTTTGAGCTTTAAAAAAGGAAAACACTATTTGTCAGAGTACCAAGTATTGATCTAGTTTAGCAAGATTGGCTAATATTTTGCTGAAGATAATTCAAAAACAGTTGCAGCAGTATATTGACTGTCAACTGCTAGAAATTCAAGCTGGATGAAGAAGAGCGTGTGAAAAGAGAGATATCATTGATGATATCAGTTGACTCTTGGCTGAAAGCAAAGAATACCAGAAAGATGTTTACCTGTGTTTTATTGACTATGCAAAAGCATTCAACTGTGTGGATCATAATAGATTGTGGATAACATTGAGAAGAATGGAAATTACAGAACATTTAATTGTACTCATGAGGAACTGTGCATAAACAAAGAGGCAGTCATTCAAACAGAACAAGTATATAATCCACAGTTCAGGAAGAGTATGTGTCAGGGGTGTATCCTTTCACCATATTTATTCAACACCTTTGCATAGTCAATCTGTATGGTGAGCAAATAATCTGAGAATCTGGACTGTATGAAGAACATAGCATCAAGATCAGAGGAAGACTCATTAACAACCTGTGATATGCAGATGACACCTTGCTTGCTGAAAGTGAAGATGACTTGAAACGCTTACTGATGAAGATCAAAGACTGCAGTCTTCAGTGTGGATTACTCCTCAACATAAGGAAAACAAAAATCCTCACAACTGGACCAATAAGCAACATCATGATAAATGGAGAAAAGATTGTAAGGGATTTAATTTTACTTGTATCCACAATCAACACCCATGGAAGCAGCAGTCAGGAAATCAGATGTCCCATTGCACTGGGCAAATCTGCTGCAAAAGACTTCTTCAAAGTGTTAAAGAGCAAAGATATCATTCTGAAGAGTAAGTAAGCCATGGTATTTTCAATCACCTCTATACATGTGAAAGCTGGACAATGAATATGGAACACCTTAGAAGAAGTGATGCATTTGAATTGTCATGTTGACAAAGAATACTGAAAATACCATGGACAGCCTGAAGAATGAACAAATCTGTCTTGGAAGAAGTACAGCCAGAATTCTCCTTAGAAGCAAGAATGTCCAGACTTCATCGCTTGTAATTTGGTCATGTTGTCAGCACATACCTGTCCCTGGCAAAGGATATCATGCATGGTAAACTAGAGAGTTACCAAAAGGGTAAGGACCCTCAACAAGATGGATTGACATAGTAACTTCAACAATGGGCTCAAACATAGCAATGATTATGAGAATGACACAGGACCAGGCAGTGTTATTTTATGTTGTGCATT